GTCCCCACTCCACCAAAGCTGCGTGGTCCCCCCTTGCATGGCTGCCATGCCTGGGTTTAAATCCCAGCGCCAGTCTTCCTCTGCAGCCCCATTTCTGACTCCTGCGATCAGTTATACCTGCCAGCATTCCTGTATTCTTCTAGCTTTACTGGGCTGCCATAGTAAGTCCGGGCAGGTTGGCCCCATGGCATGGAGCCAATCATCTCCAAGCTCTCACGCAGGTGCAGGTGCTGTAGGGGGTGGGGGGGGGGTTGCCTCACAGTTACATCCTGGGTGGAAGTCACTCCCATCCCTCTGACCCAAAGCATGGCCACAGCTATTTAACATATCCATAAAATGATTTAAAGGTTATAGAGATGTTAAATAACTATGCCAGAGGTTAGCTGCTAAGCTGTTGCTATACAAAACAGCTCTGAATGGCCCTGCCCCATGGGTCCCATCCCACAGCTCAGACTTGGGGTGAGGACATCCTATATATTTTTTTTCTAATATTTTCTGGACTCGTTGAGTTCTGGACCCCATTACAAATCCCTATTTGGCACCACCCCCCTCCCCCCCCCCCGCACCCTTGGCTATACCCTGTTACACTTTGGGTCATAGGGCAACGCTCAGTCCACTGAGCCATACCTGCCAGGGTAAGATTAACCTTTGTATAAGCCTGGCCCTCAACTACCTACCTGACCTGCCCAATTAGGTATTTTACAATCAGGTCACCCTGTAAGGCTACTTTTCTTCAGGTTTATTACAGAGCCCCTTTTTTGTCCACATCTTGATTTAGCATTTGACTCTCCTACTTAAAAACTCATCAGTGGGCCCTAGCTGGTGTGGCTCAGTGGTTGAGCACCGGTCTGTGAATCTAAGGGTCACCAGTTCAATTCCCAGTCAGGGCACATGCCTGGGTTGCAGGCCAGGTTCCCAGTGTGGGGGTGCACAAGAAGCAACCACACATTGTTTCTCTCCCTCTCTTTCCCTCTCCCTTCCCCTCTCTAAAAAATAAATAAAATCTTTAAAAAATAAATAACTAAATAAAAATAAATAAATAAAATTAAAACTCATCAATGGCTTCTTTCCGCTGTTAGCACCAATATGCTTAACATGCCCTACAAAGCCCTGTGCCATCTGCCTCTGCCTTCATTTTTCAAATAATGTAAATCACTTTTGTTTAAATCTCTTTTGTTTAAGTCTCTGTAATGGCTCTTTGACTGTTCTCAAATTAAAATTCAAACTCTCACTGTTGGCTACAAGGCCAGGGATGATCTAGTTCCTGTACACTTTTCCAAACTCACCTCATACCTCCGGTCCTCTCATTCACTGCACCTTGGCCACACTGTGTCCTTTCAGTATTTGAAATACACCAAGCTCTTTGCTACCTCAGAGTCTTTGCACTAGCAGTCTCCTTGTGGGGTAAGTGGAGGCAGCCTGGCTTCCTCGCCCAGGTGTGTGGGTAGCTAAGGGGAGCAGTGTTCCCATAGCCTTGGAGGGGCCTGATAACCAGTGTTCTCATAGCCTTGAGACTGGGTCCGATAAACTGTTCCCATAATGTGAAGTGAGCTCATAGGTGCAGAATTATGTTATATAATTTCTGCCATCTTGCTGGCTTTGTTCCCCTCTAGTACTTAAATAGGTAGGGACTCCCTGCTGGGGGCAATGATGATGAGACACACAGGGGGACAGGTGCCACGATGGGTGCCACGCTGGGGAGCAAGAGCTATGGCAAGAGACATGCAGATAGACATGCAGCCTGCAGCGTGCATGGCTTGTCCACTCATGAATAAAGGCATGCCCAACACCCCAATGGCTCCTAGAGTAAAGGCATACCAGATATCCCAATGGCTCTGTGAATATTTTTTTGTCTGCACTAATACCATGAACCTGCCTGGCCTTGAAGGGTGGCAACACACTCCCCTATATGCAATGCTTTTCTGGAAGGTCTTTGAATGTCTGCTAATTCTCCTCCTTTGTGCTTCAAAACAAACATCACTTTCTCAAAACATGCCTCCCTCAATGTAAAATAGCCTTCAGAGCCCTGGCTCCATTGGTTAGAGTGTCATCCTGTATCCAAAAGTTTGTAGGTTGATTCCTGGTCAGGACACATACCTAGGTTGTAGGTTCAATCCCCAGTCCAGGTGTTTGAGGGAGGCAACCCATCGATGCTTCTTTCTTACATAGATATTTCTCTCTTTCTCCCTTCCCCTCTCTGTGAAAGCAATGAAAAAAAATGTCTTAGAGTGAGGATTAAAAAAATAATAATAATAATAACCTTCACACAGCTCCCTCTATTACATTTCCCTGCTTCTTTTCTTTTGTGGTGCTTACTACAATCTGAACTTATTTATACGTCCATTCATTCATCATTGGGCCCCACTGAGAATGTAAGATCTGCTTTGACACTCTGTTTTCAGAGCATAGCCAGAGCACAGCACATAGTAGGCCCATTATAAATATTTGTTCCATAAATGGATAGCCAAGATCACAAAGCCAGTCAATGACAGATTTGGAATTCCTCCTTTGCAACATCAAAGATGTTGCCCCTTTCTTCCAACAGGTGGAGCCAAAGCCACATTTGGTCCTTAGCAGGGACGTGGGGTGGGCACGGTCTTTTGTAAAGCTGGGTTCAAGTGTAAACAAAGTCAAGATAGCACTTCTCCCCAAGGATGGGTAGATATGAGCTGTCCAGAAGGACCCTGAAGTAGCCAATGACCCAAGGGGGTTCTGCGGCCTCAGACTGCTTCCTCACTTCTCCCACTTGTACCAAACCATCTCCCAGTCAGCAGGGGTCTTTGAAAAGAACAAAAGAAAAAAAAGGAGACCACTTTTCTGTGAGCACGCACCTGGAGAGAGGAGAGGGTTTTCAATTCAAAATCCCAATCGTGCAGTTGAGTGGAGCTGAAGCCAAGAGAGAAGCATAGTAGCGAGTCAGTAGGAAGTGGGTCTGGCTCACAAAGCCCTCTTGTCATAGCTCGTGTCTATTTAGCTCCACAAACCCCACCCACTATACCTGGGCCATGGTCTCACGTGGGAGACCATGGTGAGGTTGGGCATGGAAATCTCGGAGCTGCCCCCAGGGGTAGGGGGTGGAAATGGCATCCTGGAGCCAAGACACACTGGACCAATGTCTGCCAGGGGGACCAGAGGCCAGAGGTGTATTCCCCAGCTGGGCAGGTGGCCTGCAAAAAGGGCTCAGTCTAAATCTGTGGTGAGGTCAGGAGTGTCGAACTTCTTCCAGAAGGCAACAGGCACTCACAAAAGGGTTTCTACAAGGGAGAGCTACTTGGTTATCTTGGGTAGTTGGCAGAAGGAATGAGAGATCAAATCAAAGGCCGAGATTAGTGAGCATGCTCATATAATCATCCTGATAAGTAACTGTAGGACTGGGAAAGAAGCAAGTGTGAGTGGTTTAGGAAATTAAATATTTTTTAAAACAGGACTTATTATAACTAATTAAACTGATCTTTATTAAGTGCCTGTTAGTATCACTTTATAAATTTATAAAAGTGACTTGGCAGAGCTTCATTAGCAAAAATTGGAGCCCCACACCCAAAGTTAAAACAAAGTCCAAATAGTCTTAAGTGCTTATCTTCTCTGGGCCTCATTTATCCATCTATACAATAAAGCCGGGGTGTCAAACTCATTTTCACTGGGGGCTGTATCAGCCTCACAGTTGCCTTTGAAGGGCCAAATGCAATTTGAGGACTGTATAAATGTAACTACTCCTTAACTAGGGGCAAGGAGCTTGGCACTGCCATCGGGTAGAAACAAGGTGCCAGGCCGGATAAAACAAGGTGGAGGGCTGGATAAAACAAGGTAGAGGGCTGGATTGTCCAGTGAGCCTTGTGTTTCCCACTTGTGCAATAAAGAGATTAGACTGGGCCGTGGCTGGTGTAGCTCAGTGGATTGAGCTCGGGCTGCAAATCAAAGAGTCACCAGTTTGATTCCCAGTCAGGGCACATGCCTGGGTTGTAGGCCAGGTCCCCAGTGGGGGCCATGTGAGAAGCAACCACACATTGATGTTTCTCTCCCTCTCTTTCTCCTACCCTTCCCCTCTCTAAAAATAAATAAAATTTAAAAAAAAAAAAACAAAAAAAACAACAGTTTAAAAAAAGAGAGAGAGATTAGACTGGTAGCTCCTGATCCTGACAGCTTTGCTTTTTCCAATGTTTGGAGCTTGGCTTAAGTGTATAAAACCCAGTAATCTGCTGAGGCAGGCCCCTACCTATTTGCAAGAGCCAATTGTTAAATTTTCAGTAATTCTGCAAAATAGTATAATGATTGGTAACTGCTATAGTAGGAGTATTTACACCATGGAAATAGGCAAATGCTATAAACTAGGCCTTCCCCCACGCCATCCTCCTCCCTGCCACAGGTCATGGTCACCAGCATACCAGTGAGACGCCTCTTTACCTGACACACATATACCCAGCCAGATAAATCCTCACCTTCCAACACTGTCATTAACAATTGTGAAGAGAGGATCACAGGTCTCTAGGACCCACAGGACCCCAGGCACACAAAATCAGCCCCAACACAGCCAGGCCCACAAGCTCAGGCACAAACAGGGTGCAAAATATAGCGTGCTGGTGTAGGCAGAGCAACCCTGACAGAAGGTAGGTCAGTCATTATCAGACTCAGGGGAGCGGAGGTTGGTGGTGTGTTGGAGTCACACGGACTGAAGATAGAATTCCAGTTAGGTCCTCTTGGCTTGGTGATGTTAGCCACATCCCTCTCAGCACTGGAGCTCCAGTTTCCTCATATTTAAAATGGGGACAAATTCTGACTTGGATTCCAGTTTCCGGGATTAGGGGAGATCACCGGCAAAGTGAATGCAGAGCCCCCACACCATGCCTGGCACAGATAGGTGTTTAGTAAATGTTGGCTAATGCTACCATTGCAACTCCAGGCTCATTTTCTGTACCCAGGGCCCCTTCAGCTCAGTGCTCCCTCTATCTGAATTTTGGCACAGAAGGGCTCAGTGAGTGATGAAGGACAAAGAGAGAAACAGCTCTGTTTTCCAGCTTTTATGAAAATTAATAACATTAATAGCTCACAGACATATACACACACACATACTTTGCTATGTACACAGTCATTAAGTTATTAATTAGTCTCTGTATAAAATGTTTCTACATTAGTGTTCAGGGCTAGGCCCCATCAGTCCTTGGCATATTCACAGTAGCAGCCCCAGGGCTTGGCCCCGTGGGCAGGAGGAGGGAAGCAGGCGGCCATGTGGATAGCCTGCCCCCAGGTGGGAATAGGAGATGTCCCAGACTGAATACTCTCATTCTGGCTCCCTTTCTGGCACTTGGAGACCAGCTGTCGAGTGAGCAGGCAGGCAGACTCAGATTTCTCCCGTGGCCTGGTGACTCGGGCTCTGTGCTTGGCGACTTCAGGCAACACGGCAAGTCCTAGAGGATGCTGGCCAGTTCTGTAGAGTCTGTGTCAGAGCAGCCGGAGCTGCTGGCCTCTTCCCTGCAAGAGCCGGAGGAGAAGGGTTAGAAGAACCATCCTTATTCCTCCCATGCCCACACCTGCCTCATTCCTCTCGTAATCTTGGCCCTGCAGTCTTAGCCAGCTGTCGGGCAAGTCTAAAACGCTCCCCCTGTCAGCCCAGACACAGCTGGTTGGTCTGCTCTCGGTACTTGCTACTCACAAGGCATCACAAGCCCAAGGACTACGGTCTTGCCTAGGCTGGCTGATGGGCTGGCACGACATACTCCACCCTACCCTCTGGTCTCCCGAAAGGCAGGCTCAGGCCACACCTGAGGTGCTGCGTGCCGGGACTACAGTGAAGAGTGCAGGCTGTGGAGTCAGAACGCCAAGCCTCAAACCCTGCTCTACCCTTTACCAGCCAGGCCAGTCAGTCTTCCTGGTTAAGCCTCAGTTTCTCCATCTGCAGAGTGGGAATCACAGGACTCTGTGGCATGTAGGGTTGTTGGAGGACTACAGAGGATCATGAAAGCACAGTCTCTAAAACATACACTCCTCGAGAGCAGAAATTTCGGTTTGCTTCATTCAGTAGAGCAATGCCTGCCACATAGGCTTCCAATAAGCCTTTGTTGAAATAAATAGATATAAAACCACTTGGCATGCAGCTTCATGTTCAAGAAATATCAGCTGCCACTACCATAAATTGGCAGAGGGCAGGGGTGGAGGAGGAGCCGTCAAGGGAAGGGGCACAGAAGTCTGGACATGACCACAGGAAGCACAGTCTGAGGACTTAAGACTGGATAATGCTCCTCCTCCACCTCCTTGTCCCCTCCCTCCGCGCTCTCACCTCAGAGCCTGCAGGGCCTTCTTGTTCTGCCGCCGCTTCTCCTCGTCAATGGGGTATAGCTTGAAGAGCAGCAGGCCTAGCAGGATGAGGGCTATGGGGGCCATCGTCACCAGCATCTTCAGTGTAAACCTAACAGGTGCCGGCTGGAAGCAGCCACCGGTCTGGTACCCTGCAAAGCTGTGGAACCCAATGGGAAGGCGAGTGGTGAGGAATGGGCACCTGGGGCCTGTACCTGTCCAGCACTGTCCTAGGCCCCCCAACTCACTCACTCAAGGCTGAGGGTAGAGATGCCCAGTGAGACTCCAGAGGCGAATTTGGTGAAGAAGACATAGAAGGAGAAGAAGATGGGCTCAGTCCCATGGGCTTCGGGATGCTTCAAGTGGAAGTCGTCGATGACGTCGGGCAGCATGGACCTGTACAGAGCGGGGCAGCCATGAGGACATGCCCACCTAGCCACCCAGGACCCTGCTCGCCCATCTGGCACCTCTGCCTGTCAATGAGAAGAGGTGGTCCTCTGGGAGTTCACAGCCCCATGGACACAGCTCAGTGAGGAGATGGCAACTTCACGTGGTTAAGGCCTCCTCCTCCATGGTAAAGTAACCCCACCCTCAGGGCTCCTGGGCAAGCAGCGGGCAGACCAGACTTAAGGCCCCATTTCCCCCCTGATTAGGTGTTCCTGCACAGTTCCTGTACAGGTTCACAACCTGTACAAGTGCATGGGAAGACCTGTCCCATACCCCCAATATGGATCTCCAGAATTCTCCCACAGGAGCTTTAGAAGTGGGGGTGGGGGGTTGGGGAACATACCCAGGGGGGCCTATATACTTACCAGGGTAGTAAGAAAGCAGCTGCTACACTGACTCCAGCGGCCACAGCTACCACATATGTAACAATCAGGTTACTCTTGTTGACGGCCACCAGAATGAGAAACGGCACTGCTGACTGGGGAAGGGGATGCAGAAAGATGAGTCAGCTGGGAGGCTCCCACTGGCACCCCCCAGCCCATGCACTAACCCTTCAGTCCCACTCACTGAGATCCCAATGTATACAGCTGTCTTCTTGCCAAACCGGGTTAGAAACCACTGCCAGATGGGAATGGTGAATGTGGCTGAGAGCTGTAGGTGAAAAGGGGGTGAGGGATGGGGGTTAGAGCTACGGAACCCCTCCTGCCCTTCCCAGAACCCCAAAGGTGCTCCCAGCCCTGCCTAAGAGCAGCCAGAGGACTTCACTGGGCAGTGAGAAAGTTGACAGGCACCTTCGATGGCTACCCAGCTGGCTGAGAGCAGGTCCTAATCTTACCTCCTGCTTCTCTGAGCACAGCTGAGCCGGTGTTGCCAAGCTCCTGGCCTCCACCTCTTTGTTCTCCTTATCTTTTCTACTTGAACATTTAACTCTTTCTTTCCCTCCCAGTGTTATTGAGATGTAATTGACACATACCATTTTATTAGTAGTTTAAGGGCACAACATAATGACTGGATGCACGCACCCAAACTTTTTCAATCCAACCTAAACAGCTGTGGGTCAGATCCAACCTAACTATTTTTGAGAAACCTCCCTCACCCCTTCATGACTTTGGGTCAGCCTGGGAAATGCCCTCCGATTCTCCTAGGAGCCCTCTCGCAGCCTACCGCCACTTTGGCCCCAGGCTGCCCACCCACCCCTGGGGCCCCACACGCACCATGATGGCCAGGAGCAGGTTCTGGAATTCGTTGCGGAAGCCCAAGGTGTAGGTACAAAACAAGGCAAAGTTACCCTCCACCAGCTGGGAGATGCGGCAAGAGAGGGGGAGAGAAACACAAGGGAAGATGTGATTTTGGTCCTGAGTCTCCCCGAGACATTTCCTCTGCTTAACCGCCCCCAACTCCACCTGTCTCTCCAGCTTGTCACATCCTGAGTCCTCGGCCCACCCGCTCCCCCCTAGGCTGAACATGTCAGCTCCCCACTTACCATGAAAGCCAGGGAGGTGAAGAGAAAGGCGGCAATGACCTTGACATATGGGCCATGGCTCATGACCAGCCGGAGGCCCCGAAAGAAGGGTATCTGCTTGGCCTGCTGAGTCTCACAGGGTTCTGGGAGCCAGAGAGGACAGTAAAGAAGGAGCAGAGGCCCCTCCCAAAGCCTGAGGCCCAGGCAGAGGGACAAGGCCGTCCTGTGCTGGGGCCTGGACCCCACTGCCCCCTCAGGGCTTCTCACCTCTCTGCTCCCTCACGCCCAGGACCAGGATGACGGCACAGATGACATAGATGGAGGCGATGACCCCTGCCGCCAGCATGTATGCATTTTTCTACAAAGGAGGATAAAGGCAACAGTGATAGACAGTCAGTCTGTTCTCATCCCAACTCAGCAGCTCCACACAATGACCCTGGACCAGTCCTTTCTACTCTGAGGCCTCACTGTCCTCACCTGTGAAATGTGAGAATCATCCTGGGCCCAAGGCTGGGCAAAGTGCAGCGGAACCAAATGTTAAGAAGCCCAGCTGTGGAGTCTAGAAGCCACAGTTTAAACCTCCCCAAATCTAGTTTCTACAACTCACTAGCTCTGTCACCCTGGGCAAATTACTTAGCCTCTCTACCCTTCCATTTCTTTATCTACAAAATGGACATAATAACAGTTTGACTATCAAATGCCCAACGTTTAACACACACTAGCTATTATTACTGTTTTGAGGATGACTGCAAACCACCCCATTGTTCCTCAACTTCCCAAAGCCCTGCCCCGACAGGGTCCTCACCGTCTCTCTGAGCGAGGTGCTGCCGTGTGTGCGGTTGGAATCTTCTGCAGCCAGTGCCGAGCCGTTGGGGTCCTGAAGACAAGGCGTGTCTGCCTGGCCAACGATTTGCCCTTGGATCGCTGTGCCCAGAACTGTGCCCAGGACCTCCACAGTCATCCCTGAGCAGTGAAAAGAAGGTCCTTTGGAGGGGACTCATGGCTTGTGGGCCCCTAGGAAGGTATAAGCAGCCCAGTTCTAGTCCCAGATGATGGTAGCAGCTCCAGGTAGGGTCATTGTAGGGTGGGGCAGAAGGCACCTTGGCCTAAACTCACGACCTTGCTCTGTATGACCTCTGGCTAGTCCCTGCATCTCTCTAATCTCACCAGAGCCATAAGGGGATTGAGTTATTTTTTTTAAAGGTTTTATTTATCCATTTTTTTAGAGAGGGAAGGGAGGGAGAAAGAGAGAGAGAGAAACATTAATGTGCGGTTGCTGGGGGCCATGGCCTGCAACCCAGGCATGTGCCCTGACTGGGAATCGAACCTGCGACACTTTGGTTCGCAGCCCGAGCTCAATCCACTGAGCTACGCCAGCCAGGGCGGGATTGAGTTATTTTTAAGATGGTTTCATACCCACTCCCAGCAAGGGAAGAAATGTGGCAGGAGGGCCAGGGAGCAGGGGACCCAAGGTTCCTGGTGGGGTGGATCAGTGGGCGAGGGAGACTTACGGTAGGCGGTGGCCGAATCCCGTTCACTCTGTTCTGTGCTGATGAACATAGTGAGAGCCGAGTAGGGAACGTGGAAACACTGTCATGGAAGAGAGACCCTTAGCCAATCAGACGATGGACAGACAGATGTGGCTTCAGGCATCAACCCTGCAGGCCCCAGGGACTGCCCCCACCCCTGCCCTGACACCCAGGGGAGGTGCCCACACTCACCGTGACCAGGGTCTCAAACAGGCAATAGAAAAGCAGGTACCATAGGACCTGGCCTGGTGAGAAGTCAGGCACGAACCAGATGAGGAAGTAGGCAACAATGGCCAGGGGTGTAGAGAAGATGATCCTGAGGGAAGGGAGGATATAGATATAAAAAATTCAGCCTTGAAAAGGAATGAAATTCTGCTCTGACAGGTGTGGCTCAGTAGGCTGGGCGTTGTCCTGCAAACCCAAAGGTCATGGGTTTGACTCCCAATCAGGGCACAGGTCTGGGTTGCAGGCCAGGTCCCCGGCTGGGGGCATGCAATAGGCAACTGGTTAATATTTCTTGTTTGATGTTTCTCTCTCTCTCTCTTTCTCCCTCCCTTCCCCTCTCGCTAAAAATAAATAAAATCTTAAAAAAAAAAAAAAAAAAGGAATGATGCCCTGTCTGGTGTGGCTCAGTGGATTAAGCATCAGCCTATGAACCAAAAGGTCACTGGTTTGATTCCCAGTCAGGGCACATGCCTGGGTTGTGGGCCAGGTCCTCAGTTGGGGGCGTTCAAGAGGTAACCAGTGATGTTTCTCTTCCCCCTTTTTCCCTCCCTCCCCTCTCTCTAAAAGTAAATAAAATCTTGAAAAAAAAAAATTCTGACACATGCTACGACAGAGATGAACCTTGAAGACATTATGCTAAGTGAAATAAGCCAGGCAAAAGGACAAAGGCTGTATGAGTGTACTTTTATGTAGTCAAGTTCACAGAGACCAAAAGTAGAATGGTGGTTGGCAGGGGCTAGGGGAGAGGAGGAATGGGGATTATTGTTCAATTGTCTAGTTTCGGTTTGGAAAGCTGACACACTTCTGGAGCTGGATGGTGGTAACAGTCACACAACAGTGAGAATATACTTAATGCCATTGAATTGTACATTTAAAAATTGTTAAAGTGGTCAATTTTGTTACGTGTATTTTACCACAAAAGTCATATAAACATATTATAAGGAACCCTAGCTGATGCGACTCAGTTGGTTGAGCATCCTTTTACAAACTGGAAGGTTGTCGGTTCGATTCCTGGTTAGGGCACATGCTGGGGTTGCAGGGGCATGTACTGAAAACAACTGATTGATGTTTCTCTCCCACAGTGATTTTTCCCTCTTTCTCCCTTCCTCCCCCTCTATGAAAGTAAAAATATCATTTCAAAAAAACCCCCACTATATTATAAGGTGATTAGTTGCTTTGGGTTAAAGAATAAAGCAGGCTACATGGGTATTGGGAGTATAGGGGTGCAATTCACACAATTCAGGGTAGTTTTCCTCGAGAAGGTGACAACTTTGCCAACACTTGAATGAGGGGAAGGAGTTGACCTTGCAGACGTCTGAGGCAAGAGTGTGCAAGGCAAGGGGAAGAGTTAGTGCAACATCCTCAGGCAGGACCCAGCAGGCATGAGGCCAGCGGGGCTGGGGTAAAGTGAGCATGGGAGATGCAACTATGACATGAGTTTGGAGAGGAAATGGGGCACCAGGTCATGCAGGACCATACAGGCCAGTGTGAGGACCATAGCTCTGTTTCCTAGGGTTGATGTAGTTTTGAGGTAAGTAGACTGGCATTAAAATGTAGAACAGTGAGTGCTTGGGATACAGTGTTTGCTGTGATTATCACACCAGGGAAGCTCAGGTGGGGAGTGCAGGCCCACAGCCAGGGAGCTGCAGAGAGCGCTGGGCTGCTGAGAGACCTCAGGTCCCACCCAGCTGCATCTCAGCCCCCTCCTGTGACACTGCTAGCATCCCACCTCTCATTGGGTGGCCTTGGGAACTCCAGGGAGAATGTCTGTCAAAGTCTTCTTGGTCTCAGGGGGGTAGGTTAAATAGTGGCTGAGGGCAGATCTGGTCTAAAGCCAGCAAGGAGAGCAGGCCACAGGGCTCAGGAACCCAGAAAGGCCCAGCCTCTTCCTATAGTGACTGAAGGGGTATCGGGTCCCAAGCCTGAGGAGGGGCCCAGGTGCTAACTGCAGGGACAGGGAGGAGGTCACATATATTACAAGGCAGCCCTTCAGCCCATGAGTGGTCCCGTGTGCCTTCAGACGAGGGTAGTGGTACCACTCAAGAGGTATCACCTGCACTGATGAGTGCAGGTGAGGACATGCACTCATCAGAAACCAGCCCGAAGGGCTGCAACAACTTCACCAAGCCGGCTGCCACACCTGCCCAGGGAGAGGCTACAGGGAGGGCCTCCCCTGTTCTCCCTCCCTGCCCTCCTTCACCCCTCCCAAATCTATGTGTCTCCTCAGAGAACAAGGGCATCAGCTTTGGTCAAACACTCCATCTTCTCGTAGGCGGCTGAGCAGCTGATGAGGAACTGAATGTGACTGAGAGTAACCTGGGCTGCTAGAGTGCCTGCCTCTCATTGGCTGGGCCTCATGAGGAGATGTGGCAGCAGAGCCCCGCCTCCCACCAGCTGCCAGGGAGGCGGGTACAGGGCCTAGCTTCCAAGGTGGCTTCAGCCCGGATGGCTCCAGTCCCTAGGGAGCTTTGAGCAGCCTGCCCAGGTAAGGCAGACTGTCCCTGCCTTCTAGCCCTGAAGTCTGGATCAAAGGCTCCAACCTGGGCCACAGCCAGGGGCTGGCAGGACTGCGGTGGGAGCTGTGTGTGGGGGGGGATCGTGGGAAAGGAAGCTGTGGGGGAGAGGCAGGGACTTGTGGGAAGAGCTTTGAAGGCTGAAGGCCGGAGACCAGGTATGGGCACCCCTGGGGCAGGAAGGCGCCCACTTGAGCATGGATGGGCTGGAGATGAAAGGAAATATCACCCCCCCACCCCACCAAGCAGGATGTCCTGGAGGGAACCAAAGCTGCAGCCTGTCAGCCTCTCCTGTGTGTCTCCCTTTACTGTCTGATCTGTAGCACCCCCACCCCCACCTTGCCAGATAGTCTGAGGCTGAGTACTGCAGGTTTTGTACCAAAGGGCCAGAGGTTATGGGTCTGCTTTCCAGTCTTGTCCCACTAGGATACATTCTGAAGGGGTGCCAAATTATTTATATATTACTTAATGTGTGCCAGGCACAGTTCTAAGTACTTCACATATAAAAAAGAAAAAACAGGAACAGCCCTGACCAGTGTAGCTCAGTTGGTTGGCCCTCATCCCATAAACAGAAAGGTCACTGGTTCAATTCCCAGTCAGAGCACACGCTGGGTTGAGGGTTCGATCCTGTCTGGGGTGCATGCGAGAGGCAACCAATTGGTGTTTCTCTCTCACATTGATGTTTCTCTCCCTCTCTTTATCCCTTTCTTCCCCTCTCTCTAAATATAAATAAAATCTTAAAAAACAAACAAGGAAACACACACATTTAATCCTTATCATAACCCCATGAGATAGGCATATTATCATCCCCATTTTACAGATGAAGAAACTTGAGACTCAGAGATATTAAGTGACTTGTCCCAGGTTGCACAGCTGTGAGTGGTGAAGCTGGTATTCAAAATGAGTCAGGCTGGCTCCAGAGTGTTAACTCTCAACCACTATGAAGGGCTACCTCTTCCACTATGGGAAGCGAAATGGGAAAAGTTAGGAGTCCAGCTTCATTGAAGGGAATGGACCTTGGGAAGCAATAGGGTTTGGGGGAGGAGGAGACTTGCTCAATCTGACAATTTGGCCAGCCTGGGCATAAACTGGCAGGGCACCTCAGGACCTATGCTAGGGGTAGCTGACCTCGGCTGGAATTTCAACACTAGGGTTGTTGTGTCATTCCTTCTCCTCACCCCTCAGCCTGTGACAGAGCACATGGAAAAACTGAAGGGTAGCAGACATGCCAGACTGTAGGGAGATAGACATGTCAGAAGTCCTGCCTTCTGTCACCTTAAAGGAGCCCCTTCTACTCACCAGGGCATAAGACGGCCCAGTCTGGTCCAGGAGGATTTGCTAATGAAGAAGCCCACCAGGGGGTCTGTGAAGGCATCCCAAGCTCGGCCCACAAATAGGATGATGGAGGCAGAAAATGGGTCCACCTGGAACAAGGAACAGGCAAAAGACGACCCCTTCATCTTTCTACCTACCTCAGCCCTCGCTGCTGGGCAAGAGCAGGGACTCCCTCCCCACCTCAGCCAGGCCCCTGGCAGTCTGTGCTGCTCCCACTCAGGCCTCAAGCGTCTTCACTTGCCTTGATAGTAGTGACAATAGCAATTTTCTGATAGCAGTAGCACTGTGTGCCTCCTTAGAAACTCTCCCAGATCTGTCCCCTGGTATCCTCCCCTTCACTGCCACCTTTGAAAACACTCCCATTAATTAGAATGAATCCAAAATCATTTCCTTGCCTCCTTTTCACAGCCCTAAGCCCCCAAGCACCTGACACCAGAGTTAGTATTTGTTGGTTGACCACAGTGGGCCTCAATTTCCCCATCCATAAAATAGGAATTATGATCCCTTTCTTACAGGACTGGCATTATGATCCCTATCTTATGGTTCAAGCTTTATTTTGGATGTGAAAAAGAACTCATGCTTTTAAAAAATGGCCTGTCACTGCCCACTTAAGCTGTTCTCTCCCCACAAACCTTCTAGGCCTGAATAGGCAGCTTCTCTAGGCTCCTCATCCCTCAAGGCCCTATTATTGCTATTGCTCCAGGAAGCTGGAAAACCAGTGTCCTTTCCCACTGGAAGTCTCCCTGATCTGACTTTTTCCAACCTTAACACTTACTACAATATAGTTTTACACCGTAGTTGCAGGTTTCTCATATTTGTATCCCATTCAGGGCCCAACCCACGAAAGTGGCTTGAAAAGTAGCTGCTGAACGTCATTTGTTCTTTCTGGGACTCAGTGTTCTGACCCATAAATGGATACAACTGAGATGCCCTGCTTGCAATGTCGGATACTACATAGAAAAGATGGTCAGTGTGGGAGCCCTGAGAGCTGTGGTTGTTCCGCCTCCCACTCTCCCATTCAGACAAGGTGAATTCTCAGGATGCCAGGCTTCTGGCCAACGTTTCTCAAAGCACAGAGGAGCCCTGCTTCACCCTAAGTACCCCTCCCAGTCGAAGACCCTGTGTACGGGGGCACCCTAATCAGTCTAGCACTTGAGGACTACCGACATGCATCTCCTCTGCTCCTCAGGTGAAAATGAGATGCACCCTAACCACACGCCTGGCATTATCCACCAACCCCAGAGCCAAACCAGCTGACTGCTTGCTGTCCAGCTGGGGACATAGTGTGCCAGTCTCTTCTAAGAACAGCATCACCAGCGGGCTCCATTCTCCCTCGTACTACCGCCTACCCCTCTAGGATCTGTTCCTCTTGCCAGACAAGGAGGAGTTGTCTGACTTTACCAGCTAAGACTCCTGGGGCAGATAGACTCCCCTTCCAGATACTTTCCAAAGCCTTGTTATTTCTTACCCACGGTGACTGTGACAGGCAGCAAAGAAGGGATTCCCGGTCCCATTTCACAGGTGGGGAAAACCTTGGGATGCTACAGGAACCCTGATGGTCTCAATCCACTCACCTGAGCCACATCCAACAGGTAGATCTGCAGGAAGAACCCCAGGGCACAGCCTGTCACCTGGTAGGGGGCCCCTCCAACTGCATAGCAAAGCTTGTTGCAAATGGACAACTGTTGTTTCTTCTTTGGTTCCTTCTGGGAGGAAGAGAAAAACATGAAAAGAGACTGAAGATCTTGGTCTCTGTCCTAGAAGGTTCCAGAATCAGGACATCCCTCTAGCCAATTCTGTCAGGAGGAACAAGTCTGTCTTGTCCTATTCCCACCCAGCCAGATAGCACTTCCTACAAGAAAAGAAAGGTATTCTCTATCCTTAGGACCTGAAAAAGGGGAATCAATACTGAAGAAGTTTCCCCTAAACCACCCTACCCTACCCACCCCACCCCCAGATTCTTATCAGCCCACCATCCCTAAAAAACTCCCCAAGGCCTCAGTCATCCTCCTCCCCAGATTGGAAGGGGAACATGCTTCATTGGTGGACCTGTCTCTACCCAGCACCAACTGCCACAACCTGAAAATCCTCTTGCTGCCAAGTCCTGAGCAAAGTAGCTCAGCTCCTGCTCTGGTTCAGGTCCAGGACCCACCTGTGTACTGGGCAAAGGCTCTAGAGAGCTGTAGGGGCTCAGCCCAGCTGGCTGCAGGCACAGCTGTTCCTTCCAACTGTCCCAGATGATCCCTGGCCCCAGTGGGCAGCCAGAGCCTCGGGCAAACCCAAGAGCTGTCCTACCCTTCCTCAGCTCTAGGGACTCTGGAGAAAAAGAAAAGCAGGGCTGGGTTCTCTCTGGGTGTGCCACCAAGGAGGTTGAGTTCACTCAGGGAAAAGTAAAGATTACTCACACATGGTAGCCGGCTTAATTGCTCACCCCTGCTCTTCCGCAGAATTAAGAGAAAAAAAAGCTATTGCCTGGGATCCTTCCCTGGGCCACCTGATTTCATTCGGTCCCTCGTTATGTCCAAAAAGCTGGGGATGGTACCCAAGGTCAAGATGTACAAAGCAGGAGCATGAGCCCCGAACACCCGCCTCCAACACACACACACACACACACACACACACACACACGCACACACACGCACGCACGCACGCACGCCTGAAGAATGCGGCTCCTTTAAGAGCAGAGTCCTTGTTCTTATGAATGAACTTATGAAGCAGCCCTCATTGAGTTGAGGCAACGCGGAGGTAGGCCTGCGGGGAGTAGGGAGTGAGAGATAGGGAAGCAAGGGGCCTTTCCTAGATTTCTGGGGTCTGACTTCTAGAGTCTTTCTGGTTTCTAAGCCACTCGTCACAGAAGAACGCAAAACAGCTAGACAGAGCCCGGGCACCACGTGGAGCTGCCGGCAGGGCACTCCGCAGAGATTCAGAAAGAGGGTGGACAAAAGGCGACACCCGTGTCTACAAAACTCCATCACCCCCAGGGCACCTCTGGGTTCTCTTCTGTCCCTGGGCCCGTCTGTTCCCAGGTAACCCAAGATGTTCCAGAACCAGGCTTATCCTTCGACCGCCCCACTAGTCTGTGCGCCCCCGCCACCCCCCGCCCTTTCCCCTCCACTCCGGGTGCTGCGTTCTCACCTTCACCTGAGCTTGGCGTTCACCCGTTTGGAGGATGCTTGCAGGCAGCAGCCCCGCTGCGGAGCCGCTCTCGGCGCCCTCTCCTTTGGCCATGACCCGCGGGCCACGCCGCCTGGCACCCGTACGCCGGGATGCTCTTCTGCTGCTTCTCACTCAGTCCGGGCTCGGGTAGTAACAGCAGCCGCCACAAGCGCCGCCACAGTCGCTGTGCACAGTTGAACCAGGCCGGCAGGCTAAATGGGCAACACCACACTGCTTTCCCCCCCGCACCTCTTAAAGCCTGGGCCCCGCCTCTTGGAGTCAGCCAATCCCGGATCCCTGCTGCCCGCCTCCAGTCTACGCGCTCGACAGCCGGCTCCCCCTCGCCCGAAGTTAATTTAAGTGAGTTTTGGAGCGGAGTTCTGCGAGGCCGGATCTCGCCACCCGGATAAAGGCCTAGAGAGCCACCTGACACTCACCAGGAAACTGAGGCGGAGGCTGAAAGTGACCTGCCTGTGGTTTCCCAGAGTGAGTTTTCCCTGAATCCAGCCTACACTCCATGATTTCTGACCCCGCCCCCAAGCCTAGGAAAGGGAGGGAGGGAGTCAGAAACCTCTTTAAAATCTGGAATCACTTGAGTCTCCCTCTCCTCCAGACCTGGAGGGTGCAGCGCTGGCATTTTCTTACCGATGCCCCTCTTTCATTCCCTAAGACCTATCATTTCCTCTTCCTGGCACTGGCATCTTTAGGGCCCTCAGCGATGGGGAAGGAAGATGAAGCCACGCAGTCCGCTGTCGCTGCCCCTGCCGGCAACGAACTAACTCCCAAGTTGCAGAGAGGAGGCCCGGGACCACAGCTGCCACTACGCGATGAGGGTAACAGCAGTCGTTTATGGAGAGCGTCCTCCCTGCTCAACACGAACTCATTCAGCCCTCCAACCACCAGATGAGGGTGGAACTGTTTCTCCCTTTTACAGCTGAAGAAATGGAGACTCACAGATGTGGCAGAACCAGGCCTGAAAGGTTTTGTCCCAGCCTTCCCTTTTTAACAGCCCTGCTCTGTCCCTCTCAGCAAAAAGTACCAGAAGGCCGAATGTGTCTCCCCAACAGGAAGCCCCGGGAGACACAAAGCTGCAATGGCACTCTGGGTGTAAACAATCAAAGAAAGGTTTGAAAAAGAGAGTGCTGAGTAATCTGGTCCTTGAAAGAAGATGGGAGGACATTAGTCTAGAAGAGAGACCAGGCATAGGTGCCAGAAAACAGGATCTTCTCTCACCTCTTGGTCCCTCTGCCAACGCCTTCCCAGGCAGACATCCAGACGCTGGTGGAGAGCAGTTTGCTCTAATTAGTGAAAGGGCTGCTGGGCAGGTCCTCAAAGCCACTCACCCCCTTTTTATTTTCCCCTTAAAATCTCTAATTGCCAAGAGAAGATAAGAGACCTGGCTTTCCCAGGATGGCCACTCCAAGCTCCCTCATGTGCCCTCGCAGATCCCATCTTGGCACACAACTCTTGGCCACTACTGAGCAGAAGGCAGTCAAAGAGAGGAAGTTGAATAGTGCGAAAAGGGCACAGACTGGCCCCATTGACCCCACCAGAGCTCTGTGACACTGTTCTCTCTCTTCCCCATTCTGGGTTTGGATTGGCTGGGGTGGATTCTATGATCCCTTTCAGCCTTAAAATTTTCACTGCTATAGCATCACACTTAACACAAGTGATTTAGATCCCTCACCAGACCATGAGTTCCAGGAAGGCAGAAACTACACCCTTTTCACTTCTGCCTTATTCCCACTGACAAGCTTGTGAACTAACTCATTGTAGGAACTTAATAAATGTGTGTTCAATGATGCATGCTCAGTCTTCCTCAGGTACAAGTACAAGAGGGGCCCATTCGGAAAAGCCCCAGGCTCCTCCAGTTGATTCTGGGCAACTCAGTTAACCTCCCTCTGTATAAAGCAGGGATAATAAGAGTGACTACCTGATGGGGTTATTATGGTATGAAACAAGAAAATGCGCAGGAAGTGCTTAGTTCCAATTCCATGGGAACTGAGGCTGAGCTCGGCCCCCTCCTGGCCCGATTCCAGCCTGTCAATGTAGCAATGCAAGATTCCAGATATGGCCTGACCAAGCCAGCACAATAGGCCTATTATTTCCCCCAGTCTGGACACAACATGTTGTTAATGCAGCCTAAGGCTGCTGGGCTTCACAGCCTTTCTCTTCCATGATTAGTTCCCATCAAGTTGTGGTCAACTAAATCATTCAGATCCTTTTTACTGGAGATGGGGTCAAGTCAGGTCTCTCCCCCTGCCTCTGTTTTGTCTAACATCTTGGAGCTACAGAAGGATAATGTCATCTTGCTTATTCCAGACTGTCAAAATTGTTTTGTTTTTTTGTTTGTTTTTTAGATAAAACCCCATTCTTTTAAAAAATATGTATTGAATTTACTGGGGTGACATTGTTTAATAAAATTATATAGATTTCAGGTGTACCATTCTACAACACATCATCTGTATATTTTATTGTGTTTTCACCAAAATTGTTTTGAATACTGGTTGTATTGCCCACTGTTCTCTCTCCCTCTCCAAGTTTAGATCCAGGCTGCTCCTTGGAAGTTTAACTCCACCATGCATACTGTTGGTCAGGACACAGCCCCATAACAGACCATTACAGACACTCATTCACCATTAACCTAATCAGGGCACTGCTAATCCAGCAGCTCCCAATTACTGAACACCCACTCTATGCTGGACAAGCACCTGTCATTCACAACATCTCATTGACTCCTCACAACACCACTGAGGAGGGGTATTTTTTGTTATCCCTGTTTTACAGATAATGAACCTGAGGCTAAGGGAGGGGAAGCAGGGACTAGTTTTATAACCCCAGAGTCAGGCATCTTTTTCTGCTGGAGTTTGGTTGTAGACCTTCACTTAGAGATGTTGTCCTCCAGGTGCATACATCCTAACCATTTGCCTCCATTCTCCCTCTTGGTCATTCTCCTTCCTACCCTCTGACCCCCACACCACCAAGCCAGGAGCCCAAGGGGCTTTGCTGAGGCTCTGTTAACCTCAGGAACCTAGAACAGAGACCTGGGCCATTCTTCACAGCAATGTTCCATCCAGGACAGCAGTGAGGGCGAGGGTTTCTTCCTGAGGAGCAGACAAACAGGTCCCCACTCTGTGGTGGGAACACCCTCCTAGTCATCCTTGACCCTTTCTGGGTCTAGCCTCATGTCACAGCCTAGGGCAAATAAACTTCAGAGCTCCCCTTGTTGCTCTCCACCTCTCTGCACCCTCACAGGACACTATCCCCAGCCTTGCAGGCTTCTTCATATGCCCTAGCACACTCCCCTGAGGGCCTCTGGGGGAGGTCACTGGCCCCCCCCACCAAGCTTCTTGGGGAGTAAGTAAGCAGAATTAAGTGCAAAGATCCCAGGAAACAGATTGCCGGGCTTCCTAACCTCCCTGCCATTACTTACAGTTTATTTTTGGGCAAATTAGTGAATCTCTTTGAGCTTCACTTTCCCCACCTGTCAAATGGGGATAATAATTGTACCTACCTCACAGGGTTGTCATGGGGATTAAGTGGGGTGCTTAGAACAGTGTTTGGCACATAGGAAACCCTAAAAAGTGTTTATTATGATCATTATCATTATTAGTACCCTGGTTAAAACCTCACCAAATAAGACCACGTAAGTCAGAGGGGGAAATATTTGCTATGAATGGCTAGGAGCATGGGGACTCAAGGTGGTATTTCTAGCAGAGCGGATGTGGCTAAGGCAGGATTACCAGGTAGTGCTGTTGGGGTGTTTGGTGCTAGGAAACTGTTGCTAAGTGAAAGTGTTGTCAGATGCCCGTGTTGCCAAGAATAACTGAAGCCTGTTCTCTAATGGTGAGATTTCTCCATAACTGGCAGACCTACTACTGACTCCTGGAGAAAAGGAGCCCAGCCTCTGCCCTAACGACACTTATCTCAGCAGCCACTGGCAAGTTTTTGACATCCTTCTTGGTGGTACTCTCAGGCTGAAGTCAGGGAGTGGCCAGGTTAAAGAGGTACAGGCTGGAAGGCCCTGGAACAAGAGCTTCCTGGAACAGTTGCTGTGTTGGGAATGCCTCAGCATCTTCCCCATTATCCCTTTTGTTTGTCCTGTGGGGGAAGGCAGGGCAGAAAGCAAGAAGGAGGGATTGCTGAGGATCCTAAGAGAGGCTCTTTGTGGGGGAAGAAGCTGAGGGCCCTTGAAGTCACCTGAGGCTCCCAGTTCCTGCCTGGATGTCAGTTGGGCAATTGTGGGACAGGTCCATGATCCCACAAGGCTATAGCCTATAGGTCATTCCACAAAGAGCCCCCCTATCCTGGGCTTCAGGAATAGGCTGGGCAGTGGCTCTGGCTTCTGAGCCCCACTTGTCAGGGGGTAGAGAGGCATGAAGAGTTCCCAGAGATTCCTTGCGTGGATGATAAAAAGGGGTTTTGTGGCAGGTCATGGTGGGTAGTCATGTCCCAGGCATACAAACTTTTTACTAAAAGGTTTATTTTTGCCTTAAGCAAGCCCTGTTGATTATTCTTGCGCATCTAGATGAACACACCTTTGGGATGCCAGAACACCCCTCAAAGGTATAGCCACGCTTAAGAAAGCACATACTCTGGTGAACTATCCTGTAATCCAACCCCCATCTTGCTTTCTCTAATCTTTCTTACGTCCCCTAACTGGCAGACCTACCACCCTGACGTCTGGAGAATTTCAGAAGACTTTCAAATGCAGACAAGAAGCTGTAAAACTGTTATTCCCTGGAACATTTGAGATCTTACTCCCCAGCACATGTCGTCAGTTTGGCACCAAAAAAAACTCATAAAAACTCTCTACAGGTTTGAATCAACCTTTCTTTCTTTCTTTCTTTCTTTCTTTCTTTCTTTCTTTCTTTCTTTCTTTCTTTCTCTTTCTCTTTCTTTCTTTCTTTCTTTCTTTCTTTCTTTCTTTCCTTCCTTCTTTCTTTCTTTCTTTCAAACACTGATCTTTTTGTTCCACTAATATGCATTCATTGGTTAATTCTTACATGTGCCCTAACCAGGAATTGAACCTGCAACCTTGGTGTATTGGGGACAATGCTCTAACCAACTGAGCTACCCGGCCAGAGCCAGATGTTTCTTACTTCAACACTTGGGGCACCTGGTGCTCCCCCACCCCCACCAACCAGTGTCCCTGCATTATCCTGGACTCCCCAAAGTTCAAGGTCCTCCCAGAAGAGAGAAGAGAGAAGTTTTC